AATTTTAAAGATGGAAAGATGAAGTTTAGAGGGAGAAAAAGATGGGTGAGGGAGTTTGTTTGTGTCGGCACAAGAACGGCACTCTCCGGGTTTTCCCAACTTCTTCCCCAGTACACTTAGGTGGTATAAATCAACTCTTTTACCTGGAGATGTCTCCCTGGTACCAGGTTACATTTAACGCACACTTTCAGCGTCTCCGTAGGAACAGCTGTGAATCGTCCGAAGTAGTGACGTTACTTGTTCGACACAAGTTCACCTCACGGGTGGACTTCACATGAGTGGAGTCCGTCAGTGTTCCACTCAAAGGTGGAAGATGTCATAATCCCATAAGACTCGGAAGAGCTCTGTGGTCATGTCAGGATTTTCCTGTTTCCCAGCACTGGAGCTGCAACGACTGAAGCCGGAGCCTGAAGCGACTGGAGCCGGAGCCTGAAGCGACTGGTTTGAACTAGGAAGTACCGACATTTTAAAGGGCTCTATTTCCGGTTCATTTGGGAGTTTCTGATTGGTCAATATCGACCAGACAGGGGTGTGTTTTTGTGATGTAAGAGGTCACTAGGAGTCAGAAAAACAGCAAGAATGTTATGGAACAGATTGAAAATGTTTTAGAGACAGAGAGAGAAATGTTTGGACGAGTTGGCGGAAAACAGGTGCCAGCTTCTCTATTTACGTCTGAGAGGATTTAAAAACAAGACAGTTCGTTCCAACACTTGTTTGCGTTTGACTCCAACCTTGGACCAACTTACACTGCTCATTCAAAGACAGAAAATCAGAAAATGCATAATTACTCTGTAACAGACCTTAACATGAATTCTAACTTTGCATGAGGATTAAAAATCATTATTACTGTTTCACAGTTAATTAAAAATTATTAGTTCACTGCAGCATCTAAAATGGTTTGAACTAAAAACACTTTGATTATCAAACATTTGTAAAATAGTAATGATAATAGAAAAGTAGTCTTCTTTCACTTGATTAATTCAAGAAAGAAAGTCTCAGGATGGGTCAACCTGTATTTCTGGATTCAAATCAATGAAATGACAGTTTCTGTCCCATAAGGTGCCTAAGGTCAAGGTTTTTGACATCAGGCCTAGTTCACTACAATGTTCATTCAACCTTTATTTAGACAGGTAAATCCCATTGAGCCTTGAGGACTCATTTACAAGAGAGACCTGATTTCAACAAAGAATGGTGACAACAATGGACAATTATAAAAAGGCATACAGATTTTTTATTTTTTTATTTTTTACAAATAAGATGACAAAAAAGTAACAAAAAAAGGTAAATTATAAGGCGAATGTAGAAAACTAAAAACAGGAATATGTCTGCATTGGTCCCTGCCAGGAGTCCAACAGATTTTTAAAGCCACTTAGAGAGGTCAAGGTTGAGAGCTTCAGATCTTTTTGTAAGATATTCCAGGAAACAGGAGCGGAGTAGGAGAAAGCCCTTTTGCCTAGCTCAGTCTGCAGTGAGGGAACACTGCAGGTAATAATGTCCTGAGAGCGCACGCTGTAGCTGCACTCATGAAGACATGTAGGAGGAGATGTATGAAGGCAGCAGACCAACAAGTGATTTAAAGATGAAAATGTACCAGTGAGAGAGTCTGCGTGAAGTTAATGATGTCCACTTTACCAGTGAATACAGGGTGCAGTGGTGGGTACAATATTCACAGCCAGTTATGAATCTTATTGCGCACCATGATAGACAGCATCCAACATCTGTAGGGTGCTTGTACGAGCGTTCATGTAAAGAATGTCACCATAATCAATTGAGGGAAGGAAAGTCACAGATACAAGGCGTTTTCCAGCATTCAGAGTTAGACAGGATCTGTTTCTGAAAAAGAAACCCAGTTTAACTTTCAGTTTCTTTACTAGGTTTTCCACATGGAGCTTAAAAGAGAGATGCGAGTCGACCAAGATACCCAAATATTTATAGTGTAGTGAACTTGACCTGATGTCAAAGCTAAGCCTAAGGTCAAAACCCTTGACCTTAAGAACCTTGTGGGACAGAAACTGTCATTTCATTGATTTGAATCCAGAAATACAGGTTCACCCATCCTGAGACTTTCTTTCTTGAAAATCAAGTGAAAGAACACTCTCTTTTTTATTATCATTACTATGTTACAAATGTTGATAACCAAAGTGTTTTAGTTCAAACCATTTTAGAT